TGGGGTCCCTGGGGAGGCGGGATGGGTGGCGGTGGGGTCCCTGGGGAAGGAGCCAGGCCACCGTAAGTGCTGTCCTCTCACAAGGAAAACCTTGCTGCCCAGCCATCGGCCTCTCCTCCAGCAGGATGCATCTGCTGGAGTCACACCCCTAAGGTCACTGTTGGAGGGGGTTGCTCTGGGCTGGACGCAGGGAAGCTCCCTGGGAGGCCTGCGCCCTTCACAGGAGGCCCCGCCCAAGAGCAGGAGCAGGGCTTCCACCCAGGGCTTCTGAGCAAACGCCTGGGCTGCCCATGACTGGCCCGATCTTCTTTCCAGGTGCTCCCAGTGCAGTGGGGACATCAGGGGAGGGATTCCCTGTGGCGCGTCCCATCCCATCCCCATATGGGATCTCTGTGGACCACTCCTTGCCATCCTTTCCCCAAAGGACCAGAAACTGTCCTCACCCGTGTCCCTAAAATCAGCAAGCAGCCTGGCATCCCCGGGCTCCCTGCCCTCCCTGCTGTGGTTAAGGCAGCAGCCAAGGACTCAGAGACAGATGCTTCAGGCTGGGGGACACCCGAGGTCACAGAGTCCCTCCCTGAGACGCCAGCCAGGGCTGCACTGTGAGCTGTTGAGAGCTGAGCACGTGTGGTGCCCACAGCTCATCGGCCACTCATGCTGGGTGGGGTCATAGCTCTTGGCGTCAAACCCGAATCCCCCGGGCTGCAGTCCGAACCCATTTCCTCCTGCTTTGCTCTGTTCCTAGCTGGGCAGAGGTCTGGGTCTCCCTCCTGCAGGTCTGGAAGGTGTAGACCAAGGTCCTGGCACCCCATGGGCTGCCTGCTTCTGTTTCCCTTCTCCACATGTGCCGACCTCAGAGACGGGAGACATTCGCCCTGGAGAATCTGCTGTGTCCATCATGTTCTCCCTGGCTCGGCCCTGACAGTCCCTGCTGTACACATGTACCCCACACTGCCGTTACCCACTGCCCAGCCCACAGCTGGGCAAGGCCCTCTTCCCTGTGACCCCCTCCTAGCCAGAAGAAGTGCCAGGGGATCGGCCGATGCACCCCTAGGTCAGGTGGTGGAGCCCGGGCTGGGGGTGCACTTCCTCCCCATGCTGGTGCAGGCCGTGGCAGGAGTGTGGGGAGAAGGACAAGCCCGGCCCAGGAGGGAGGGGACCCCACGCTGGGAAGAAGCCCCTCCCGTTGCCCCCAGGCTGCCAGACCTCTCGGTCAGAGTGGGGCAACCGCAGTGAGACAGGCCCCCCTGCCGTGCTGCTGGCCACTCACCTTTCCAGGCACGGGGGACCCGGCCTCTTGCCTAAGCTCTGTGGGCCAGCTCGGCCTGGCCTAGCGCTGCCTGAGCAGCGTGAGGTGGGAAAGGCGCTGGGAAGCACCAGGAAGCTGCCGACCCTCACCCAGAACAGATCTCTCAGCCAGGGTCCCTCAGCCGACATCTGAGTCCTCTAATGCTTGTCCCGGGGCAGGCGACAGTGCCAGGGCAGCTCTCATTGGAGCCTGCTCTGGCCCCATAAATCAGCAGCAAGCTCTTCCTGGCCTGTGACAGCCACTTCCCACGGGCGCGGGAACGGCCTCGCATGGTCCTGGGATTCTGCACACTCAGCCACACGCCTCCGGCC